GTGCCCGGGCCGGGGCGGAGCCAGCAGCCCCGCGCCTGAAATATAAGCAGGCGAGGCAGCATTTACCGCCCCAGCCCAGCTCCCCCGGGGGGGAAACGCGCCGTCACTCCCGAGACCGCAGGGGAGGGGGAACACCCCACACCCTGCACCAGCTGCCGGGCGCACGTGAGCGGGACGCAGCCCCGCGGCACCCGGGGCAGTTTCTGCTGTCACCTCCTGCTCACCCCCCGGGTGCTGGGGGCTGGGTACACGGTGGGGATGGAGGATGCCTGCAGCAGGTGTCCCCCCTCCCACCAGCACAGGCCACCAAACCGGCAATGCTCCTGTGACCTTTGGGACTGACCCTCGTCTGGGGTCACCACATCACTGGGGGGCCAAACCTATCCCCATGTCACCGGTGCTGCCATGTGGCCACCCCACCCTGTTATCCCGGGGGCCCTGCTGCGGGCAATGCTCCCCATCCCTCCCCAGCTGCGGGGGGAGAGCAGAGGGGTTTGGGCAGGGTGGGGGATACAGCAGCAGGAGGGATGGGGATACTCCCAGGACCCCCGCCAGGGATGCTGGCCTGCTCAGCTGTTTTCAGCAAACACCAGCAAGCCAGTTTGCTCACCACAAGAATGCATTCCAAAGCACATGGCAGCGGCCAGCACCCCGAAACCCCGGTGATTTGCCCCTTCCTCCGTTGTGAGTCAGGCGGCAATGGCTGCCCCGGGCCGGCACGGCACCGCGCGCAGGCTGCACTTTGGGCAATTTGGGATGATGAAGTGGGGACACAGTGTGTGGGGCTCTGATTGCAGGGTTGGGGGCTGCGGTGCTTTGCCATCCCCGTCTCACCCCATCCCTGCCCCAGTAGCCCCCTACCCCAGGGGTACCCACACTGCCCCATACACCTGCCTGGGGTATCCCCCTCTTCCCCTGCCCCACAGCCCTGTCTGGGGTGCCCCCCTACCGCATAGCCCTACTTGAGGTGCCCCCCTGTCCCACAGCCCGTGCCCCACAGCCCTCCCTGGCGTACCCCACAGCCCTGCCTGGGGTACCCCCCCACCCCACCCCTGCCCCACAGCCCTCCCTGGGGTGCCCCCTTGCCCCACAGCCCCTGTGTGTGCACATGCATCTGTGGGTGCACATGCTGGTGTATCTGCAGCCATGCATGCGCCGTGGGGTGCGCATGCGTGCACCCGTACCACCGTCGTGTGCCTGTTTGCTTCCGTCTGTCTGCGCATGTGTCTGTCTGTCGGCGCAGCTGCACGTCCAGGTGTCCCTGCCGGCAGAGGGGGGTGTGAGTTTGTGTGTGTGTGTGCAGCTGTGCGCCTGTGCGCACCTGCACCCCGGGGCCACCAGCACAGCCCTGCCTGTGGTCCTGGGGGGCCCTTGGCCAGCCCAGACCCTGCTCTGTTTGGGGGTGGCAGTGCAGTGCGAGCGGCACCCTGGCAGGCTTGGGCCTGTACCCCCCATCACCTGCTGGCAGCACTGGCACCATGGGCACCCCAAGGTGTCCCCGAGGGCCAGGACCCCCAGCACCCCCCAGCGACAAGGGCACAAGGCCCTGGGGTGCTGCTTGCATGGGCTCCCCCTCAGCAGCACATAGGGGGTCACCCCTGAGTAGTCCCACAGCCACCAATCCTGGCTGGCTGTGGGGGGCTTGGGGTGCCCTTGGGGCAGGGATCAGGGTGCCACGGGGTGCCAGAAGCCCACCTGGCCAGATACAGGATATTTCTGGGATGCCGTGGGTTGGCAGGGGCTAACCTGGTATGATATGGGGTATTGGGGTGTCACAGGGTGGGGGAGGTCAGATACAGGGTGCTGTAAGGGGCCAGAGGCCAACCCGGATGGATACGGGGTGACATGGGGTGACACAGGGTGACAACAGCTGACCCAGACAGATATGGGGTGTTGGGTGCTGTGGGGTGGCAGAGGCTGACCCCACTGGCTATGGGGGTTCAGGGTGCTGCAGGGCATCCGAAGCTGACCCAGCCAGATATGGGGTTTCAGGGTGCTGTGGGGCATACAAAGCAAACCGCCCCCCCAGCTATGGGGTGTCAGGGTGCTGGGGAGTACAGCCAGGCGGATGCAGGGCTCCCCCCCATCGCAGACCTCGGGTGCCTGAGCCCTTCCGTGGCACTGGCTGCCAGCATCCCGCCGCGCTCTTGAGTAGTTAATAAGTTATAAGGGAGATTTGGGCGCGGGCAGGGAACATGCAGGAGCGAGCCCATGTCTGGCAGGGGCCGGCAACCACATTCCTTTTGCGGGGGGGGTGGAGGAGGCTGGAAATGTCAGCACCAAGTGGGATGCAAGGTTGGGGGGGCACACGCATGCACCCCATAGCCATGGGGCTGTCGCTGCCTGCACCTGCCTTTGGTTTTGGTATTTTCCCCTTCACCGGATGCTGCTGAGGCAGTTACGTGCGTTATCTGCTGCCTTCAAGGCCAAAATATTTGAGCAGGATGAGTAAAGATATTTATCACCCGGTCGGGGGATCCCCATGGGTGCTCCCTGCCCGGCAGGGTGGGAGCAGGAGGGGACCAGGCAGGGGAGCTCCTCCGCCTGGTCCCCTCCTGCTCCCACCCTGCCAGGCAGGGAGCACCCATGGGTCCCCCCCACAAAGGGGTTGCACTTTGCACGGTGATGCAAAGGTGCCCAGTGCTAGCCGAACCCTGGTTAAACGTGAGCAACTGATAAGACGTTCCAGAAATAAACCAAACCCTGACCCCCGCTGGCACCTCTGGGGGGGGGGGAGGAAAAAATGGCAAAGCCAAGGGATTTGCAGGTCCCCAAGGGGGTTCGGTGGGTCAGAATGACCACGGCAGGCGGCCTTCCCCCTACCCCGCAC